CCTGCCCCCTGCCCGCCTTCCTTCGGGGCTGCTGAGGGCCGCGGGAGCGGCTCGTCTTCCCCGTGCGAGGTTGCTCTCCGGTGCCTCCCCTTCCCCTCCCGCCAAGGCCACCGCCGGGACCTGTGGGCCCCTTCTGGGCCGAGCGGAGGGGCTTGCAGGTACGTAATGAATGCCCTGACTGACAGCACCCCTTCCCTTCCCTTCCTCGGGGTCCCGCGCCGCTTCCCATTAGTTTCTATGGACGGAAAAGAGCAGATACGGATCAAATGGTTTTCAGTGCATTTCTATGGGAAATGCAGAATTGACCTGCGAACTTTTTGACTTGCGAACCGCCTTCCAATACGGATTAAGTTCGCAAGTCAAGACCCCACTGTATCATGTAAGATCAGAGGAAAGCAAAGTATGCTGCTTATACACCACCTGATAATGATTAAAGCGCTTTCTGGGTAGTTTACAGTTTAAATCTGCAGGCTGCACATTGCACACACACCGTTGCAAGCTGGGTACTCACTTTAATGACCTTGGAAGGATGGAAGGCTGAGTTGATCTTAAGCTGGGTACCTGAGCCCATGGGGATCAAACTCATATAATGAGCAGAGTCTCGATTGTAGTGCTGCAATGTAGCCACTGCACCATAAGGCTCCCTTGTGATGCACTATTATAACTCAATGTGTTATAAATAAGGAATTGGAAGGAAGAGCTGTAGTTCAATGGTAGAACAACTTGCTTTGCCTGCCGGAGATCTGGTTTTAATCTTTGGCATCCCCAGGTATACTAGAAAAAGCCCTGTCTGAAACTCGGAACAGAGTTTTGAAAAGCTATTATTTGGATGACAGCTCATAGGATCTCCCACTCAACATGGCTATGCTGGACAGGGAACTGCAGGTGCTGTAGTGAAAGTAATAACTTTTCTAAGGTCTGCCCTGAAGAACTGCTGCCAATCTATGGCTGAAACCCTGTATGTTCTAGTGTTGTGTTAAGTTATACCAGCAGAATCATGGCAGAAGTAGATCACCCAGGTGACCAGCACTGCAGAAGTTGATTGTCTAACCAGTCACATGGCATGCATGTAGAAGTGCTTTGTGAGTAGCACTTCCACCCTCTTGTACACTTCCCATAGCTTCAAACTGCACAACAGGATTTCAGCTACTTTAGGACAAAATTGCTAAATAGAACAGTTGTTTGAGTGTGAATAGGTTCAATTTCTGATTTGGATGGTTCCTCATTTTGGGCGGGAAGTACCACAGGAGCTGTCTTCTTAACTTTAACAACCTCATCTTTATTGGTTACAAGTGGATCAACAGTGTTAGAAAACTGATCAAAGAAACTCAATTCTGGCAACAAGCCATAACTGTCTAATGCATATTAAGTCCTCTCACCAACCGAACCCAAAGGGATGCAGGGCAAATCTCTCCACATCTGTCGGTTTCTGCAGGGGTGCACTCTGCACTGCACAAATGGTACTGCAACATGGGTGCCTTGCCCTGTCTCCTTTTACTGGAGGAGTGTTGTGCCGAGCATCGGGTTGGATAACTTGGCGTCCTCTCCCTTTGTTCTTAGGGAAGATCACTATGGACCATTCCAGGGTCTCGTAGTTCAACCCATTCCTTCTTGGGAGGGCAGATTGGGAAGCAGCCTTCCTAACTTTAAGTTTGGGAAGTCCCCCAGTAACTCCTGGGTCTTAACCTGCTCTTACTCTCTTAACTTCTCGATCTCTCTCTTTCTCTTCCACAGCTTAATCTCTCCCCCAAAATGGCGCTCGCTGTGGGTATTTATACTTTCCTCCCAAACCAAAACTCCTGCTCCACCCCTTTCGTGCCTTCTCTCTCCTCCACTAACTTCAAACTTCCCGCTCTTTCATGTTTCTTTCTCTGCAATCGTGTTTTCCTTCAGGTCCTCTCGCCCTTGCCTGTTCTCTACTTCCCTTCCCTCTCTGGATCTTTCACTAGCAGGGGACGGCACACTCCACAGTGGTATTCCTTCACATTGAGTCTTCCTGTGTTTGGCAGCTGACAAGCCATTACAGTTCTTATGAACAAATGAATCGGCTACTTTGAATGCTGATTTCAAAGATCTCTTAATATCTGGAGTTCTAGAAGAGGTAGCCATGTTAGTTAGTGCTAGCATATCAGGCAAAAACAAAAGAAAAAAAGATAAATGTTGTGGCATCTTAAAGACAATCTGCTATATTTTAATGTGTATTTTCATGGACAAGTCCACCTCCTCAAACCGTATCTACATGAAGAGTAACAAAATGATTTAATATTTTTTCTCTTTTTAGCAAGCCTTTGGAAAATGCTAGCAAACTTGCACAGCTAATTGAGAAAAAGCTTGAAAACTACTATAAGATTGATGATCGAGGCCAAGTAAAGGTAAATGAAAGCTCAGTTCACTCTGGGAAGATGGGGACAGGTGAGCTATATGAAATTTAATTCTTAAAAAAAAAAACACCAAACAACCTTCCGGTTTATGAATGTGGGATTTTGCGCTTCTGTACCCAGAATTAAAAAAGGCAAGAAATGGCCTAATATTGTTGCACAAGATCATGCCCCCATTGCCAACAGGAAAAAGGATGCCAAGATTTACCTAGCAAAAGGCAGCCTGAATGTTGACAACACCAATGGCAGCAATCAAGATGGCCTACAGCAGTGGTCCCCAACCTTGGGCCTCCAGATGTTCTTGGACTTCAGCTCCCAGAAATCCTGGCCAGCAGAGGTGGTGGTGAAGGCTTCTGGGAGTTGTAGTCCAAGAACATCTGGAGGCCCAAGGTTGGGGACCACTAGCCTACAGCATATCCTCTTCTGTTTACTGCTGTTCACAAAGTGACACCACACAAGGGAAAATTCCACAGACTGACTTCTTTTTTCATAACTACTTCTCACCCAAACACAAAGCAATTGTTGGGGCTGTTTTTCAACATGTGTGACTGGAAGTTAGCACAAGAGGGTATCCTGTAGTAGACCATTTTTCAGTTAAGATTTCTTTGAAGACTTCCTTCTGAAAATTTCCCCTTAAGAAAAGAAATATTTGATCCCATTGCCCTTGAAAAAGCTTTTAATAGGTATATCTTGAGGTGGAGGTTATTATTTTGATACTCCTAGAATAAACTGCTATCTTCTAATATTATTTATGTGGCTTTCATTTTCAGATAGTGCTTGTTCTTTTTTTTTTCATGAAGAGCTGGATAGAAATGAACCCTGAGTACTTTGAGAACATTAACTATTGAAAATGTTGTGCAAAACTCCATTCTTTTACTTTATGTGCCTAAAAGAGGATGTTTGCTGATTTTTAAAGGGCAAAACCAACTCCCAACTGTTAATAATTGATCGTGGCTTTGATCCAGTGTCAACTGTGCTTCATGAACTTACTTTTCAAGCGATGGCCTATGATCTGCTACCAATTGAAAATGATACATACAAGCAAGTATAACTTTATTTAGATCTTTTGTAATCCCATTTTCATTGTTATGCAGCAAATTCAAGTTGAACTTATGAGCAGACATTTTGTGTTCAAACTATCCAATGTTGACTGAAATGGAAATTCCAAAGACAAAATGTATATAATTGCTAACTTAATTTTTCTGCTTTTAAAAAAGAAGTGAAAGAAATTCTGGCATGTAAGGGGTGATAATAACTTCTGTGATTCCTATAAAAACAAATTAGCACTCTAATTTAAACATAGCTCTGTGGCAGATCTAGCACAAGAGGCAGTCAAATTTCTTGCAGCTATCATTGTTTACTCCTTGCTTATCAGTAAAAAATGACTACAAGTTATATTCTTGAAGATCCTTGTTAGGGAGTAAACCCTACTAACCATAGCAAGATTTCTTGGTCATAATGTATGAGACTGCACTGCACCTGGTACATTTTATGGTCTTCTGTTTAGTCCTGTTCAAAATGTTCAAAGTTCTCATTTTACTTATGCCAAGCAATATTCTGCCTTGACAACTCTAAGACATCATGTTTCAATTTTTGCTCATTTTTATGTTAGTCTGTATGTAGACTTAGGCAAACTTCCATTGTTCAATGGATAATCAGGTCCTGCCGAGGACCTGAAATGGCAGTGTGCTTTCCACAAGCAGTTACAGTGGTGCCTCAACATATGACCATAATCCGTTCCAGAAGATGGACATAACTCAAAATGGTTGTAAGTTGAAGCACCATTTCCCATAGGAATGCATTGAAATGCAATTAATCTGTTCCGGCTGAAGAAAATGATCACCGAAAAAATATAAATCACTGCAAGAGTCATTGGAAATGCGATTAATCTTTCCGGCCGAAGGGGGGGGGAAGAAAAGCAATCAAGCGTGCAAGACCCATTGGAAATGTACAGAAAACAAACAGAGCAGATCGGAAATGTAAAGAGAACAAAGGGGGCAGGTCAGAAATGCAAAGAAAACAAAGGAAAAAGCAAGGGAAGCATGTGGGACCCATCGGAAATGGGGAAAACCCCCCAAAAAGAAACCAACCCACCAAAGACCCATCAGAAATGGGGGAGAAAGCCAACAAACAAACCAACCCCCAAGACCCATCGGAAATGGAAAAAAAATACCAAAAATAAACCCTCAAGACCCATCAGAAATGGGGAAAAACACTCCAAAAGCAATTTTAAAAAAACCCCAAGACCCATCAGAAGTGGGGGGGGTAAAAACCCAACAAACAAACAAACCTCCCAAGACCCATCACAGCAAAAAAACATAACCCCTCCAGCTCAAAACCATGCTGCAAAAACACCTAGAACATTTTTTAAAAGCAGAAAACAGCACCTTACCTTACCAGCCAGCTCAAAGCCTCCCTGTAAACACACATGCTCACTCAGAAGCAGAAGGAGGCAGTCCCAAGCCTCCTCCAGTCCCACTCTCTAACTGCTGGGGCAAAAGAGCTACAAAGAAGCGGCCTCCTCGCCACCTACAGTTAGAAATTTGAATTTCCTGCCTTTTCCCCCTGCTTTTTTCTGTTCATAAGTGGAAGCTCCGGTCGCAATTAGAAGCAAAATTTTGCAGCCGAAGCTGGTCGTAACTCGAAATGTTCGTAAGTAGGGACATTCATAAGCCGAGGCACCACTGTATATGCGTTTCCTGATAATGAAAAGTTACAGATGATTTATCAGAAATCTAAAAGAATCCTAACTAATGAAGTAACGAAAGTATTCTTACTATTAAATTGTTAGCAGGGTGTTATCTCTTCTCTATAGCAATACTTAAGAAAATCATTTATCAGGGTCTGAATAATACAAGATTTTTGTAGCTGTAGGAATGGAATACTTAGACCATTGCCTGAAATCATTAGGGTAAATTATGCTCAAGTATTTTAGCCATGTGAGTTAATACAAAGTATGATTTCCCAGAAATCATCTTTTTTTGCAGAAAATATTACTAGTATTGCAGCTCCCCCTGAAATCATATTATGTTGTATAACATGAGGAATCAGCTGTTGGTATTTGTATTTCATTTATAAATTTCACAGCAAGATTTCAGCTTTTAAAATAAGCATAGAGGAAGAAGAGGAGTAACTGGTGCATTCAGTTGCAGCATATATTAGGTAGCTAATACTCTCTTTGGAATTACTGCCATGAACTAACTTCTCACTTTTCCCCTCTTGTATTTCTACTGCTTTCTGGTTGAATCAGTTTATGTGAGTGCCTATATATATAGTGTTTTGTGACATAGCACTAGTACTCTCTGTAGTATTTTTTTCAGTGCTTAGGAATCTGCTTACTAGTTGGAAGTACGTCACGCTAAGCATGTTGTAGATACATGTACATTCAGTAATCCCCATATCCAAGTCTATTTTGCGATTGCATGTGAAGTCAGTTTTCGATTATTTCCCAACATTAAAGTAAGCGGACCTTCCCTGAATATTGGGGTCTGAGGACACAGAGTAAAATCAAAGTAGTTCTGTGCATTTGGAGAACAAGTTAAATGTAACCATCTAAACAAAATTGACAGTTCTTAGGAAAATCAATTATGTGTCTCAACCAATTCTATTGAATATTTGACATTCTCATTAAACTCAGTACCCTTTGAGCACATCTTGTTCATGTTTACTAGAAAGTAAATCTCATTTGCCCTCAGACAGATTTGCTTCTTAGTAAGTATGCTTAAGGTTACAGCCTTTCTTTTTTTCTAAAAATGCAACTTTTGGCTGTGTATGTTTTCATCAGATCCTGGATGCTATGTATTCAGAATGAAAGTTTGGAAACACTTTTCTGCTGTAGTTACTGCTCAAATATTTATGCTAGACATACATATATCTACATGTAACTTACACCTAATAATCTGTGATTTCTTTCTGTTTGTAGGTATAAAACAGATGGTGCAACTGGGAAGGAAAGGGAGGCAATTCTAGAGGAAGATGATGAACTCTGGGTGAAAATCCGACACAAGCATATTGCAGATGTATTGGAGTATGTATGACATAAATCCCATAGAATTAAATAGAACCTACCGTAAGTGAAAACTTGCCCCATAGATTTGAGTAATACCAGTATTCACCCAGTAGGAGCACTGGTTCACATCCACTTATCAAGGTCAAGAGATGCAGGTTAGCTGCTGGACAAAGTTTTGTTTTAATTATTCAGCCAGTAAATGATGATTATGCTTCAATACAGTGGTATACAAACTTATCTGGCAACAAACCCAATGCCATTTGCTTCTGATAAACATCTACAAGGTTGAATGTAAGTAATATTAGAGCTAGACTGTCAGTGAAATTCTCTTGAACATCCTCTCAGGAGCAAGTTCCATTCAGTTCTGTTGAAATCAGTGGTGCAATTCAGTTGTGATATAGGTAGAATTGACTTTAGATTCCTTTGGAGAAGATAGAAATAAATTTTAATATCAATATGTTTCAGCTTTAACTACAGTATCCACTAATACAACTTGGGCAAACTGTGCCCCTCCATCTTCTTCAACACTTCAAAATCCCATCATTTCCTGCTTCTAAAAAAGGCCTTTTCTGGTAGAGGGGGAAACCCACATATTTGGGGAGAAATTATTTTGATGCTTCTGGGTGAACAATTTGTCATAAATTGTTTCATGAAGTGGAGTGCAGCCTGAAAAAGTCCAAGAGAGTCCGGATCACTCAGAGATTGTCACCCTTACACTGGCAAAACTGGAACTAAATCATAGTGTAAATATGCAGTATTAAAAGTCTTCTCTGCAATTTATGGATACAGTAATGTCTTTTAAAGACAGAGATGAACTCTTTCACATGTACTCCAACTTCTATTATTTCTTCAGAGTGTTTCATAATAATTGTGGCCTGAGGATGATGGGTAATACAGTACATCCATCTAGTAGAATAGAATAGGAGGAGGTGTCCTGTGCATCAGGTCAGGGTTCTCAAGCTCTGGTCTGTAGATGTTTGTGGACTTTCAAGTCTTAGGTTTAATGTCTTCTCAGGTAAGACTAAAATAGACCCAGAAAATCAGTGTAATTTGAAGATAAGGTGTTACAACATTTATTTATTATATTTAGTTGGATTATGTCAAATCCTCCAAGTGGATTATATTAACATTATTTATATTACAGTATAAGGATACCACTGCCACTGAAACTGGGAACTTATTTCAGTCCGGAAAGTTTACTAATTAATTATAGTAAGACCAAATGGCAGTTGGCAAAAGATGCAAGTAACATAAATTGGGTTTCTGTGTTTCTCAAAAACAAACCAGACTGTTTGTTTAAATGCTTAGAGCTTTTAAAAAGCACACATTATGCCTCTTGTGTAGGGGCAACTGAGGATTTTATCTGCCTATTCATTGATAAACATAATGAGAACCGTTGGGGCTTCCTCCTGGATGAGTTATTTGTGTGTAATTAGTTTGTTATAATTTTGATGGTCAGTGAGGTGTTATTTTGATGGCTATTAGGTATAAACAAAAACTTTTGACTGGTTTTAGGCATTAACTTATTTCATTATGCTCTTCTTAGTTGTATTTGCATCCAAAGTGACTCCTCGCCCAAGATCATTATCTCTTTAGGGAGAAGTGATTCTAACAGTATTATGGGCTATAAATTGCACCAGAGGTGGCAAACAAATCAATAAAAATTTAAAACTTATGAAACAGAATAAATTGTGCAGAATTATTCTAAAAACTAAGTAACCTTAATTTCTCCATTTTGCTTATTTAATTCAATCCATATTAAACAAAAATTTCTCGCCATACATATTTAGATACAAATAATAATTTATTATTAATAATAGATAAAACCAAAGATACAAGCTGATATTATTTTATTGCTGATTTCTAAATTACTGTATTTCACTAAGTAGCTAACACATCAGATAGTTGCTGAAATCTTTTTCATGTAAGTTCTGCAGTGTGCAATTTCCAAGAATTGTCATTGCTGGCATCCCAGTGGAGCTAATTTTCTTTTGTAATTAAAGAGTCCTCCCTCATTACAGGTTCCTCGTAATGGGACCTTTAGAGTCTTTGTAATGGGAGAGGAAAATGTTTAGTTTTCAAATTATTTTCCTGATTGATGACAACAGCTCTACATGGTGGAATTTACACAAAAAGTGATTTCAGCCGATGTTTGCATTTACTTGTAATTTAGAAATATTAAGAAGACATTTTCTTCTGCTGTTTCAGGGAAATACCAAAACTTATGAAAGACGTTTCTTCAAAAAGGAAAGCAACAGAAGGGAAGGTAAGACAATTTTACTGTCAACTAGTTTTGCATATTTTAAGATGTCAGTCTATTTATTATGAATTACTATGTTGAATACTTCAGTACTAAAAATGGATTTGGAAAAATGAGGAATTGAAATACATTTGTACTGGTGACTGGTTCTCAAATACGCTGAGGTAATTCATTTTTGTAATTTACTTGGCAGTAGGGCCCCCTATCCACGGGATCAATAACCACAAATTCACTACCTGAAAATATTAAATAACTCCCCCTCCAGAAATATGTATTTATACATAATTCTGTGATGTATTCATCAGACCTGGCCACTAGAAGCAGTCAGAGACCGCACTATGTATACTTGTTAAAAATATGAGAGAACAAGAACGACAGAAGCTAATAGATTAACTTTCAAGAAGAAAAGAGAGTTAGATACTTAGGGATTCAAATCACAAAGAAAACAAGTACATTACAGTGGACCCTTGACTTACAGACGGCTTGACTTACAGACTTGTTGAGTTACAGACTTCTCTGGCCGCAAAATTTAGGTTTGACTTGCAGACTGAGATTTGACTTACAGACCAGAAAAAAACCAAAATGGAACGAAAACGGCCTGTTACGGGATTAATCGGTTTTCAATACACTGTAGGTCAATGGAGACTTGACTTACAGACTTTTTGACTTGAGAACCGCCTTCCGATACGGATTAAGTTCTCAAGTCAAGACCCCACTGTATTCAAAAACAATTATATGAAGTTGATTAAAGAGATACAGATTAGCTTGGAGAGATGGGACAAATTACAGCTATTGCTGATGGGAAGAATAGCAACCATTAAAATGAATGTTCTACCTAAAATTCTGTTTTTATTTCGGACAATTCCTATAATATTAAAACAGTATTTTTTCAAGAACTTAACAAGATAATTATGAGATTTGTGTAGCAAGGTAAAAAAAACCAAGAGTTAAAACTAAAGCAATGCAAGATGCCAAACAAAGAGTGGGTTTTGGTCTCCCAGATTGGGTTTTGTATTATAGATCCTGTGTGTTAGACTGGATAAAGGAAATGATAGACTACTCAATTTGGAAGGACATGATTTGCAGTTCGGTTGGCATGCTTTTCTATGGTACAAGAAAGATAAAGAGCAGAAACATTTCAACTCGCATATGATAAGAAGACCCCTACTAGGGATTTGGAAAAAGATCATCCAACAGATTTACCAAAAAAAACCCAGTCTGGGTATCACCTATAGAAGCCTTTACACAACCTAATCTCATGACGGAAGCGAAACTTCTAAGATACCAAGATTTATTAAAAAAGGATTGTGAGTTAAGGTCTAAAGAAGAGTTAGAGACACAAAACATATGGTCCAGAGCACAAGTGGAATCTAGGTATAGAAAATATAAAATAGAGGGCTTTTACCCAAAAGAAACGATATTTGATAAACTTCTGCTGGGCGCAAAAGATAAAGTAATTAAGAAAATGTATGATTATTTGTTAGAAATTGAAATGCAAGACAAGGTGGTCAAAGAATGTGTGATTAAGTGGGCACAAACTATAGGACATAATATTGATATTGATCAATGGTTGCAAATATGGAAAAATAATATAAAGCTCACAAAATCAGTTAATTTCAAGGAGAACATATACAAGATGTTTTATAGGTGGCATATGACTCCGGAAAGATTGTTAACGATTTATACAGAGGTGTCAAATGTTTGTTGGAAGTGTGAAGCACATGAGGGAAGCTTTTATCATATGTGGTGGACTTGCAAAGTAGCGAAACAATATTAAATAGGAGTACATACTCTATTACAAAAAATATTGCTTTGTAATGTTCCACTAACCCCAGAACTGTTTCTACTGAGCATTATACCAGACAATATAGATAAGACAAAGAACTACTTAGTTATATATATAGTCACTGCAGCCAGAATTCTTTATGCCAAGAATTAGAAGAAACCGGTGATACCGAAACAAGAGGAACTTACTGAGAAGATCCCGGAAGCAGCAGAAATGGATATTTTATCAGAAAGACTGTCCAATACAAAAGGCAACTGAACGATCGGATTTATTATATAAATGGCTTGAGTCACCAGATAGTGCTTGAATAACAGATTTAAACTAAGATGTAAATGTAAGTTAAAATCTGGAGGGCAAACAAATTGTAGAAAAGTGGAAAGTCGATTTGATATTGCAACATGAATAGATTGGATGTCAGTTCATTTTGTGTTTTTCCTCCCCCTCCTTCCCCCCATATCCCCCTTTACCTTCTGTACCCCTTACCTTATCCCAAGTTGTTAATTAAAAAAAAAGAATTACTATGATGAATACTTGGATACTAAAAATGGATTTGGAAAAATGATGAATTGAAATACATTTACACTGTGACTGGTTCTCAAATGTGTTGAGGTCATTCATCTTTGTAATTTACTGTACAGTAGGGCCCCCTATCCGTGGGATCAGTAACCACAAATTCACTACCTGAAAATATTAAATAAATCCCTCTTCAGAAATATGTATACATAATTCCGTGGTGTATTTATCAGAATTGGCTACTAGAAGCAGCCAGAGACCACGCTACGTATAGGGTTCGCTATTTCTGTATTGTTCAGCATCCACGAGGGAGTCTTGGAACCAGTCTCTTGCAGATACCGCAGGTCTAATATGTACTTCATAATAGTCTTTTATATAGAGATGAGCACCAATGTGATGTAGTAGATAGAATAAAAAATTAGGACTCAGGAGTCCTGTATTCATATTTCTGCTGTTATGAAAGCTCACTGGGGTCAGCAAACGCAAACCAGTTCTTGAACATCTCACATACCTCAAAAACTCTGTTAGGGGGCCTTAGTGGCCATAAGTCAGAAGCAACTTGAGAGCACATAACAACCATACTCAGAAGCAAGATCCATTTTTTTACAGTACTTTTTTCTGGTACACATGTGCATGCAGAGGACTGCAGTATTCTTCTTGTACCTATTGCTCATGCTGGATTCCAATTTACAGATGTAGCAAAAATACAAAAGTTTGATGAATATGAAGTATTTTGAGACTGCATTTTCATACTGTTTTCCAGCTCTCTTTAAGTAGTCTGTCTCAGCTCATGAAGAAAATGCCTTACTTTCGCAAACAAATTACTAAGGTAAGCAAAATATGTGGATGTTGTGATCTTTTTTTAAAAAAAGCATTTAAAAAGATAAAATAAGATCGTATCCTGATTACAGACTCAGTCTATGGCTATGATCAGATATAAAGTATTTTTATTTGGTCATGGTGGGGACAGGAGTGCCCATTCTGTGCCAAAATCATAGTTTAGATAATCTTTAATCTGAGTTGGGCAAGTGCTGTGAGGCTTCATGGACAAAAATGTCCTTATTGGGTCAGACCTTAGTTTATCTAGTCCAATATTTTCTATTCAGTTATGACCAGCCAGGTGGCAGCCTTTATACTGTGTATCCTGACTCTGTATGTAGAGATTGCACATAGCTCACATTGTTATTGGGTAATCTAACCTCATGAATTTATGTTAATCTGATAGATTGCTCTAGTATATTAATTCGTATATGTCAAAGACAAATATCCCACCAAACAGGAAAACTTAGTATCTATTTTATATTTTTCCTTTCATGATGTGTAGGCTCTCCTACAAAGATTTTATTCAGATATATCACTCTGCATTTCTCTGTGTTAAGAATCTAGCCTTAGAAAGGTCCAATTAATATTCTTGTGAACCAACATGTAATGAAATCCTGTTCAATGTAATAGCCTCTCAAAATTGTGAAATGGGACTTAAATAATACTGGATACTTAAAATTTATTATATTATCTCTCGCTCGGATCAAATTATGTAAAATTTGTAAGTTTTTGCTTCTGTTTTGCAGCAAGTAGTGCATCTTAATATAGCTGAAGATTGCATGAATAAGTTTAAGAGTAATGTAGAAAAGCTGTGCAAAGTTGAACAGGTATGTGAAGTACCTATGTTTATTGCTGTTTGGGCCTGACAACTACTTGTAGCATTATAGCAACAGATGTTCTGCTAGTTATTTTCCTGAATTCAGCTAATTTGTGATGTTGGTATTTATTGGCAGCACTTAGACATGTACCAATTTTTGTCCTTTCTAGGGAAAATACAGAGTTGGACTTGCAGTTGATAAGTACTAATGGAAAGCTATTGCTTTAAAAAAGTGTGGGGGGGACTAGGAGCTACATCATGTGTAGCTGCTAGGTATTGGCTTCCTGACTAGAAGGGCTACTAGGATACTCTCACAATAGTTTCCTCTTGCCCTTCAAGGTCCAGGTTCAAACATTTCCTTTGGCTGTTGTTCAGTGGAGATGACAACAATTCTCTCATAGCTACTCTATGGAATTATTTATCCACGTTCAGGAGTGAAACTGCAATAAAAAGCTATTTTTAGGGACAATGGAGATTAGCAGGAGGAGGAGAGGGAGCAAAGAGGGAGCAACAGCTTGGGCTTATTTAAGCGAGGGACTTGGTGAACTGATTTCTTCTAGAAATTAGATCAACTAATAGTTGCAAATATATGAATTTGTACAAGGTGTTGCTAACTCATTGCAGCAATACAGTCTAATCATAATTGTACCTGGGAAGTAGGGCATAGTTCATCTAGGAAGTTAAATATGGTGTGAAATGCTTGTGACATTTCACCTTGTAGGAGAAGATTAATTTCAGGCTGTGGCTACATTAAAGTTAACATTATGCATTAATTATTTGATTCAACAAGTTATCTTTTATAACACAGGATTTGGCTCTTGGAATGGATGCTGAGGGACAGAAAGTGAGAGACTCAATGCAGGTCCTCCTTCCAGTACTGCTCAATAAAAATCATGATAGCTATGATAAGATAAGAGCCATCCTCCTTTATATCTTCAGCACAAATGGTAAGATTTAAAATTTGCATCTACTGTTCAAAGATGCTTTAATCCATAATTTGATGTTGCAAATATCATGTATCATACTAAAGAGATGTATTATTATTATTATTATTATTATTATTATTATTATTATTATTATTATTATTATTATTATTATTATTATTATTATTATTATTATTATTATTATTATTATTATTATTATTATTATTATTATTATTATTATTATTATTATTATTATTATTATTATTATTATTATTATTATTATTATTATTATTATTATTATTATTATTATTATTATTATTATTATTATTATTATTATTATTATTATTATTATTATTATTATTATTATTATTATTATTGGGCCTCACTCAGCATTAGGCTCCTCAGCCTCACCTCCTGGCTCGCACGAGTGACACGGGTAGATCTTGGTGGGAGAAGGCGTTCCGCCAAGTACCGAGGTCCTAAACCGTTTAGGGCTTTATACGTGAGCATCAACACTTTGAAGTCGATGCGGAATCGGGTGGGCAGCCGATGCAATGCGGCCAGAGTGGGTGAAATGTGTTGGTATTTTCTCACTCCACTAAGTAATCTGGCCGCCGCATTCTGCACCACCTGTAGTTTCCGCAGCAGCCTCAAAGGTAGCCCCACGTAGAGCGCATTACAGTAGTCTAATCTTGAGATTACGAGCGTGTGCACCAAGGTGGTGAGCGCCCCAACGACATGTTAGGACCCCAGCTGGGCTATCCGCCTAAGATGAAAAAAGGCGGAACGGACCACAGACGCCACCTGGAATTCCATGGTGAGCGCCGGGTCCAGATGGATCCCCAAGCTGTGGACGCCATCCTTGGCGGGCAGGGTCACTCCCCCCAAAGAGAGTGAGTTTCCCAAATCCCCAACTGTATGGCTTAATGAAATGCCATTTATGCTACTATGTGGGCCATTTGGAACTTAGCCACAGTCTACATATACCCTCTGAGCTGAGCCTATTGAAATGAATGCAAGTTGTGCAGAAGTCCGTCCCCCCCGTTTTAGGGGCGGGGGAGAAAATACTTCTGAGTAATTGTGATCTTTTTGCATGAAACTTAAATGCTGCCAAGCTAAAGAAAACAGACTGCTTGCGATACATTAGCTTGGATAAGTTGGAGTCCTGTTTACAGTGGGATTACTGTTAAACAGACATAAGATTGTGTTCTTAAGTTTGTATAAGGGATATTTTTCATGTTCTTTTCTCTACAGGTACTTTTATATGATGAAGCACCTCTGAAAAAGGGGTGGTGGTTCTGAGCAATGAGGAGGGAAGGGGATTTTTTTTCCTGTAGGCTTTCTGAAGCAATTTAGAAACTGAGCTTAATTTCAGGCAATTCTGCCCTTCCCCAGCAGCCGTAGTTGCCACATTTTGTATTGCTCAGAAGGACCTGTGTGGTATTTAAAGGGTTGTAAGTGGCTATACATGGAAAGAGAATGGGAAGTGGCTGAACGTCCTCATGTTGATTTGACTTGATCCAATAATGTATCTGGAGTTACTGTATTTATAATATAATGTAACTGCCAAAGCGATGGGAAGAGACTGTGCATTTTAATAGTATACTATACAGAGCTATATCTATAGTACAAATACACAAGAATGTTTCAAATGTTTAAATACATCTAAATGCTAATTTGAATACTTTGGGTGAATCCAAGATTGCACTCACATACTTTTGTTAACACAGTAGAATGCTCTCCTCCTTTCTTCACTCCCATAGCCCACTGTATGTTTGAAAAGTTGCCCTGCGGGTTTCCCAACCATTTGGAGTAGATGGGGCATATGGAAGTAGTGGGGGGGATTGCCCCATCTAGTTCCACTGGTGGAATTGCTTCTGCAAGCCGAATGACACTGCTGAATCTTGGCCTTTGAATTTTAATCTAAACAAGTATCATTAAGTTACTAATTCAGAATATCATATTTATTTTTAAATATTGAAAAGGAACTACTCAAGAGACCTTGGACAAGCTGATCCAAAAAGTACAGATAGAAAATGATAGCGACATGATCAAAAATTGGAAGTACCTTGGTGTACCTATTCTTGCCACAGTAAGGAATGCAGCATTTCTTTTTCCAGTCAGCTCTGTATTTATTCTCTTTTAGCAATGGCTACATTATCATGCTTCTTTTCTCTGGTCTATTCTGACTTTCCTCACTGACTTTTGTGTTTCACATTTCTCTGGTACTCCAGATTCCTCAAACCCCAAACATTTAAATCAGAAAAATTTAGACACATTCAGGCAATATAAACCAAGCACAATTCTGGTTTAGAACAAATTAAGAAATTTATTGTAGATTATTGGTCAAATTCGCAGTGTTACATTGTAGTGATATTAACAATATCTCATATTCATATAGTTTCTGGGAATGTGGAAAGAATTCACATAAGATCCATGTGATCAATTATGTCACAGATTATCTCTGTGAGAAACCTGTAATGTAGAACTGCTATAGTGTCTCATATTAATACTCTTTTATAAGTTATGCAGGTTTTGAGTAGAGTAGTTCATATGAAAACTAGTTAGTCTTATTCATTTATTTATACCCTGCCCATTTAGACACAAGCCTACTCTGGGCGGCTAACAATAAATAGTCATGTAATATAACTCACACTACATGGCAGGATATATTTTGCAAAGCTAGGCCACATCATTCAGTATGCCTGTGAGTAACATAGTTAATTCTAATCATGAACAACAAGCAGAGAACAGGACTTGGAATAATTTGCTTGTGTTTGTTTCTAGTTGTGCAAAACTAATGGCCATTGCTAATTGATGAGGTTCCTGGTATGTGCTAGGTGCATCACTGACATATGACTGCCATGCACTTGTCAGTTGGCATCAACAACATAGCTAATTTCTCTAGTCTGTGTGTAAAATCTCAACCAACTTTTGGCCGATAGTCCTAGTATGCTTCATGATGCTAGATAAAGAGATGTAGCCCTGTCTGTGCTAAGATTCATCTACTCAGTGAAATCTGAATGAACAGATGTGAATGTACTTCCAGATACATTTGTTCACAGGATTTCCATTCTGGATAGCAAACACATGAATAACTAAGAGTCTACAAATGAAGTTAATTGTGGTGATCTTGCCTGTGTGATAGGTTGTTAGACTATTGTCCTTACATTGAATGTGAAGGGTTAATTTCTGACATTACATCCTCAAGGCTCAGGTTGATACAGATGTGATTCTGGCCCCTACCTGCTACATACATGGTGAAGATTTAGCAGGGTTAGGGCTGGTAGTAATTACGTACATATACGTATAAATGAATGGATACTAGGATAAATCATTTTTCCCTTTTCACAGTTTATATATTAAGAGATACTTCAGTTTTGTCTTGCTGCAATAAAACCGTGCTGCTTGCTGAAGAAAAGCTACTGTCCTGTCCCTTTATTAGTCTCTCTTGTTTCTGTGATTATGTCAATCCCATTGTTTAAAAATGACTGGAGAATACTACCTTTTCAATCAATATCAGGTTTCCTAAACAGTAAACAAAAAGTTAAGTACAGTTTATTTGTTAAACAGTTTTCAGCATGTACCACAGTCAGAGTGACATATAAGAAGCAATAAATATTACCACTGTCACTCCTATTTTTTGTAGAAACCAGATTCATCAGACAGTAAATATTCAGCTTGAAGATGAAAGCTTAGTTAAATCCCAGACTGTAAATGTACTACATTGGTGAAAAGTAAAGGAAATGATACGATAATGTTCAATTTAGTTAGGTCCTCAAAAATACAAATAACCTATCGTGCACCTTTGTATGGTTATGTTTTCTTCTTATCTGACTTTCTTAAGGCAGTAATAAATCTCAGACTTCGGTGTTAGTTTGTTTTTTAAAATCTTCATTGTTTATTAAAACACAGTACTTTTGATGTTTTAGTCTACAACACAACAGCGCAAACCCCCAAGGAGAGACCGTTCTTCAGAAGAAACATTTCAGCTTTCTAGATGGACGCCCCTTATTAAAGATATTATGGAGGTAACATTTCCAGATTTTTTTAAAAAAAGAGCTATATTAGTAGAATATATAAGCCTTTCAAAGGCTCTAGTTAGTGCCCCTATTTTAGTTGATGTATACTTCAGATATTTTATTATGGGGCAAAAAATCTATCAAAATGCACACAAGGACACCACATTGAATACATGCATTAATCAGTTTCCCCTAATCTGCTTTGAAGTTATTTAGGGACAGACTCAGATATTTACATGCTGCCCATTTCACTTGTAGTGCTGTTGTGACAAGATGAGGAACAATCCTCATTTGCCTTACATAGCAGTTAATGTTCAGATGTTGTGGCTGTAAACATTTAAAAGGCATACGCTGCAAAATCTTACTTTTAAAAGGTAATGGCTTGCAGTTCTGATGTGCTGTACCGCATATGCCTCATCAGTTTATAGTTAATTTTTAAATTTTTAATTACCCGTATTTTTTGCTTCATAAGACGCACCTCTCCATAAGCCGCACCAAATTTTTAGGAGAAGAAAACAGGAAAAAAAATCTGTTTTCTTCTCCTAAAAATTGGTGAGCCTTAGGGAGAGGTCCGTCTTATGGAACACAACCTAGGACCATTTGGAGGCTCACCCAGCCCCCCCGAAGGCCATAGGGGGCAAAATCACCACCTTCTGGGGCTCTTTTGAGGCTTGGAATGCTTCAGAAGAGCCCCAGAAGGTGGCAATTTCGCCCCCTCTAGCCTGGTGGGGGGGCAGGGTGAGCCTCCAAAGGGTCCTAGAGTGTGTTCCAGGACCCTTTAGAGACTCACCCTGCCCCCCCGGGGTCAGAGGGGCCAAAATTGCCACCTTCTGGGGCTCTTTTGAGGCTTGGAA